TGATAGCTGACGGCTTGAACTGAATCCGGAAACGTCGAGAAATCTGGATATGCTCGAGATGAAGACCTGGAAGCAGCAGAAGAAACAAACAGAGTCAAGAACCCTAGTATTTGGATTCGAGGATGAACAGCGAGGAACAAACCAGAGATTCGAGGTTTGTTCGGTTGAAAACCTAGGGTTTGATGCGGAAGCGGTTTGAGCGATGGAGAAGTGATTTTAGTCGGTGAGAAAGGATCTAATCGGTGGAGAATGGTCGTGAAGCAGAGATGAATATGTGATTCGGTGGATTGGGCAGACGTGAAGGTTTTGAAAATCTGAAGTAAAGAATCTCTCAGAGGCTTGTTGATGAGGATGAGGTTTGTGGTTTGAAGAGCTTCGATGGAGAGAAAACTAGGTGCGGACGTGAATTGATGATATGAAGACTATGTGATGGATCTGGAAGGAACGGCACGCGTGGCAGTAGACGACCTGACAAGCACGAGGGAAGCTATCAATTGTGAGAGTGGCGTGAGATGGTGCTATGGAGGAGAGAGAATCTGATAATGTAAAATGAGAGAATGATAGTGAGATGGAAGGGGGCTAGAGAGATCCTTTGGGATTCTCTAGCTTTGACTTTCAAGGGAATTAATTTCTGGAGTTCTCTTACAGAAAGTTTAATTCATTATTCTCAAAGTACCTTACAAGAGAGGGAGCGACGGAGCGAGGTTGAGGGAGCGACGGAGCGAGGGAGTGAGGGACTGAGAGAGTGACGGAGCGAGGGAGCGAGGGACTGAGAGAGTGATGGAGCGAGAAAGTGAGGGAGGGAGAGGGAGGGAGGGAGTCAGATCTAGAGGAAGAAGGAAAGGAGGGAGAGCGAGGGAGCGGGGGAGGGAGAGCGAGGGAGTGAGTCAGATCTGGAGGAAGAAGGAAATGAAAGGTTACGTTTTTTTGGTTAAGATACGTGCACATATGACTCGGTTCTCTACTAGCCCGAAGCAATACATGCATATAGGTCTCGGTTCTACACCTGACCGAGGCATATAGTTCTCAGAAAAAAATGAAAAAAAAATATAAAATGATTATATACCTCGGTTTCCGTTTAAATCGAGGCATAAACACTATTTCGCACTGATTCTGAACGAACCGAAGCCATAGGCTCTGCACAGAATTCAAATTTCAGAGACTGTCAGGGGGCAGGTGGGCTTTTAGGCTTCTGTCGTTGTTTTAACCGAGGTAATATGACTTATATGCTTTGGTTGATTTTGAACCGAGACGTATAAGTTCGCTTAAACTACAAAAATGCCACCGCATTTTAATAGGCTTCGGTTTCACCTAAACTGGAGCCTATAACGCGAGTTTAAAAACAGTTTTTTTACTAGTGTAACTTTTTATAAAATTTTAACAAAGATATAATCATTTTAATATATAAGTGAGTAAGGTTGACAAACACATATTTCCATTTTTACTTTCTTTTCTTTCTTCTTTCAAGACCGCTTGATTTGATTCCTTCAAGTTCTAATCGAGCGGTGGATACATGCTAAAGATACTCCGATGTTCAAGTCAGATTTTAACCAATGAATTTAATTCACAATTAATTATCAAAACTCAATTAAGTTAACCTTATATCTGTAGCTTACCTTCATATTTATAGATTTTATTATGGACCTTAGGCTAATGATAACGGTTGAAAAACCATTATTTTTATATTTAATTTTGATATTAAAAACACGGCTTAATACCTCTTTTGGTCCCTAGAAAGAGGGGGATTATTCAAAGTGGTCCTACCTTTTTTAAAAAGTTCAAAGTGGTCCCAACTTGTGAAAAATCGGGTCAAGTTAATCCTTTTTAGCTACGGTGTCAAAATTTTAACGATAGAGCTGCCTCGTTCGCCAAAATTTCCTCCATCTCCATCACTACAAAGTCCACCGGGAATTGGAGTTTATCAATCTTCACCACCACGTCTTCTACCACACCATAAGGGTATTTGATGGACCTATCTACCAACTGAAGCATCATTCTTGTTGGCTTGACTTCAAGACCACCAATCTTTTTAAGCATAGATAGGGGCATCAGGTTGATGCTAGCCCCTAAATCAATAAGAGCCTTCTCTATATCATGTTTTCCAATTGTACAAGGAATGGTGAAACTCCCAAAATCTTTAGATTTTGGAGGGAGAGTCTTTTGTATAATAGCATTGCAATTGCCCTGCACTTCAATTGTTTCCTCTTCTAGATATTTCTTCTTATTGAGGAGTTGCTTCATGTGCTTCGCATAAGCAGTAATTTGCTACTGTGCTTCAGTCAAGGGCATAGTAATCTCCAATTGCTTGAAGATCTTCATGAAACGCCCAAATTGTTTCTCTTTTTCAGTCTTTGAAAAGATTTTTGGATAAGGAAGGGGCTTCTCAATTATTCTCTTTTTTTTTTCTCATCCTCTTCTCCTTTCTTTTTCCTCTCATCTTTCTCAACTTCTTTTCTCTTAGCCTATTCTTTTCTCTCTTTATTCATCTCTTCTTTTTCACTCAACTCAACTTTTTATTTTCTCTCAACTTTTCTTTCATACATCGTGCCACTTCTAGTCATAATGGCATTACACACCTCCTTAGGGTTAACTTCAGTATTAGCCCCAAAACTCCTGTTAGGCATCTCCTCCAACTTCTTAGCTTGTTGACCAACCTGCATCTTCAAATTCCTTATAGCAGCTTCAATGTTCTCCACCACATAGCTCACAAAGTTGTTGTTGAACTTGAGAAACGTTCTGCAACTCCCTTGTCAGTTGAGAGATTTTCTTCAATAGAGTCTCTAGTTATTGAGTCATAATCTTATTCTGTGCCAACAGAGCATCTTGAGATTGTAGTTGTAGAACTCCATTTTGTTGAAGTTGAGTTCTTTCACTATGCATCTCATTATCATTTGTAGGCATATATTTTCAATCAAATCATAAGCTTCCTCTGGAGTCTTACACTTGATATTACCTCCAGCTGAGGCATTTAGCATCAATTTAGTTTGTGAGCTTAGACCTCCAAGGAATAGAATGACTATTGTAGGTTCATCAAAACCATGAGTATGCGTCTTTCTCTATAAGCCTTTAAATCGATCCCATGCTTGACCTAATGTTTCATCCATGCCCTGCTTAAAAGAAGAAATTTCTTGCTTACCTTTATTCACCTTTGATTGTGGGAAGTATCTGTTCAGAAACTTTGCAACCACTAATTTCTACTCAGTAAAGTGTTACCAATGAGGAGCATTGGTATCTTGAAGCTACTGTGAAATTTTGATGATGATAAAAGCTGAAGAATTGAAGACTCTAAATGCATCTTTGTTAAACGCATTTTGTAGAAACAAATGTATAGGATAAAATGTAATGATGTAAAAACTCTTAGAAGTTTTCGTATTTAGTGAATCATTGCACAAATAATCGATTATCAAAGAGGTATAATTGATTATCATGAGCCAATTTAGAAGAGAGTTGCTTGCGCAAATAATCGATTATCACACAGAATAATCGATTATCACTTTTTCATTTAATTCTATCCAAGTCTCTGGAATAATCGATTATTGCTCAAGATAATCGATTATCACCATTTTGAAAACCCCATAACGGACACAAATAATCGATTATCACTTATGATAATCAATTATCAATGGCAGTTGGGAGATGTCTTTTCAGTTTTTGACCCTGCACGAAACTAGGCTTATAAATAGAGGTCTTCACAGCTCTTAGAAATAACTTTTCAATTGAGAGTATTAGAGTTTTGTGCCTAAGGGAAGCTCTCTGTGAGTGAAAAAGATCTATGCCATTTTGAGAATACAGTTTGTCTGAGGAAGTTCTCAAAGTGATAGAGTGCTCTTGCCTGGTCTTGTGAATAGGAGAAGCTCGCGTTTTGTGTGTCAAAGGTTGGAGCGGTTCTCTTCAAGTTAGCTGAGCAGGTTCTTCCGTTCGTTTGTCGAAGGAAGGTGTTTTCTATTCTTTGCTTATTTTGATTATCTGATTGTAATCTGCAAACCATATTTTAGTGAAAAAAAGTTAATCACTATTCATAGTGATTAACGACTGGACGTAGAATCTTTTGATTCGAACCAGGATAAAAATTCTGTGTTGATTTTCTTGATCCTTAAACTCTTAGCACATCATCAACTGTTCGATAAAAGTTCGCTAAGAAAATCAATTTTTGAAACCAACTATTTTAACTTGTGTTGTGATCGTTACACGCTTTCCGCTATCTATATTTTATTCCGCTGCGCGACTCTATAACGGTACCGATTGTTCCGACATAAAGTTGTTCTCTGGAAAAGAGTTCAACCACATCTTAGCATTACCTCCCAAAGAGAAAGGGAATAAGCTAAGTTTAATAGCTTTATCTGGCACTGATCTTCACAATATTGCATATCTCATTGAATGTGGTTAGATACTCATATGGATTTTCATGTGATAATCCATTGAATTGGTTGCTCTTCACCAATTGAATCAAAGCAAGCTTCATCTCCATATTTGCAACATTAACCCTCGGTCTTGCAATGCTATTAAAATGATGAGGGCCAATGACTGTTGCATAATCTGTCGTTGAAGCTATCAAATTAATTCTACTTTTCAAGGCAACTTCAGTATTGCCAAGTAGTATTCAAGAAAGTAGATAGGGCTAAAGTAACCCTGAGTCGTCTCCCAACGAACACGAAATTGCTTTTGAATATCTGTGACTCTTACGAATGCTATGCAATGCTTAGGAATAAAAGCAATGGTTGAAGAGTGTTTAAAGAATAAATAAGAAACTTAAAAACAGTTATGATGAAATAGGCTAATTCCACTACTTTTCCAAGATAGATTCATCATCGGTTATTCACGGATAATTGTTCAATTGATTATTGTTTAAGTTTCAAATTAATTAACGTACATTCTTAATTAATTCGAGGGCGATCATGCATTTAACCAAAGTAAATTCTCAATCAAATGCAAAACCTTTCTAGATTATTCACAATAAATTCAACCAAAGTACATTCTCAATCAAATTCTATTGTGTTTAATCATGTCTATTCTTAAATCTCCTAACCAAGTTAAAAGTTAATCAATCAAAGTAAATTCTCAATTAATTATAGTTGAAATTATTACTACCAACCAAAGTACATTCTCAATTGATAATAAAAACCATTTAATCATATGAAAGTTCCTAAATTAAATCAAAGTAGATTCTCAATTTAAACCTAGAAACCCTAAAACTCATATAATCAATATGCATGTAGATTCAAACATATTATGATGCAAAAATCTTTGCTTTTAACAAGATAGAGAGATGAAAGACATAGAGAGAACAACTTAAATCAATAACCAAAGTAAACAATTGCATTAACTGAACGTAACCTCAGAATCCGTCATGAAATTACAGCAGAATAGCCCTAGATGCTTAGCTCTCCATGAATGGAGTTGAATACAAGATGAAAGAAAAGTGAGAG